AGTGTGGCCCCCCAAAACTCCTCTCAAAAAAGGACCTCACACCACGTTACTACTCCCCCCCCCCCCCCCCCCCCCCCCCCCTTTGTATTTTTATCTTATCTTTTTAAAAATCTTTTTAGACATTTACTGAGTAGTGTACGGGGTAATGCCGAAACAGAGTTAATAGAAACAGATATAAAAACATTGCCGTTTACATTGCCGACAAAAAATTCGTGTAAATCCCGTCCCAATATCTTACCCCGCATTGAATAGATGAGTCAAAGGTTGAGCACCACTTAGCTGGTGGGAAGGCGCACGAAGAGGGGAGAAAGCAGCTGCTGTATCGAGTGTTTAACCAAGCTGACCAAATTAGTAGAACTAGAGACTTCATTTTCATCTGCAGTCAGTTTCTAATTTGACAAGACTTACCAACTTTGTCGCAGCGCTAAACTGAAAACTACCGCACGGTGTGACTTTAAAAATAACGATACTTCCTCATGACGGCCAACGATTATTTGATTGGCTCTTGAGTGACTGCGTCATTTGTAACTGGCAGAGATCAATATTAGACTACATTCACCCCAAACCGTCATTTCGAAGAATCAAAGGCCTGAGTCAGGTGTCACGAGTTTTTGCTTATGTCTTTGTCTCGCAAATGTATACACCATGAAGTGTTTTTAGTTTGCCAGGAAATTGTTTTTTTTAACTAAAAGATAAAGAATTGAACAACCATTTTTGTTTTCATGTTAAAACAGGTTCTCAGATCTATTTTCAATTTGTTTTTTTCTCAACACTATTTATTCTGTTTCACTGGAGAGAATACACAGGGGAAAAAAATCCACTTTGATTTAATATTTTAATTCATTCTCATAAACTATATGAGGAAAGTTTTTTTAAGCCTGTCACAACTTGTTTCATGGTATATGATGCTCTTTCAGAGTGATTGCTTTTTAACTTGACATGAATTCTGTATGTTAGTTATGATAAAATAGTTTTTGTATTAGTTTACAGTTTTCCAGTCTATAGGTTTTACTCAGGGGGGGAGTCATAAAACTCCTACTCAAGAAGAGTCATAAAAACAAATCCAGAATAACCCTTGAATGTTTTGACAAGCTTACCTGGTGATTGTCACATGATATCCCAGTTTTCCACTGACTTGGCTGATTGTAATGAGAGTACATTTACTCAGGTGTCACAGCAGTCTTTTGTTGTATTTGTGCTGTGCATACATTTATGCTGCTTATCACAAATTCTTCTTGTTTAGGGATTTCTACTTTACACACAGATATCTTGATACAGACAGATCAAGGGAAAAAGCACACAGACACATGATTAATTCAGTGTCTCCCATATTCATTTAAGCAAGTAGCATGGATTTTTCTTTTATATCTGTGTTGCTCCATCTCTGGAATCATGTAGTCTTGCCAGAAAGGACCTTTGTGTACACATTTAAGGTATTTCTTTGATACTTCGATCAATAATATCTTGATGCAGAAAAATGTTACTTCCTTTTCTTTTTTTTTTACACGCCTGCAGGTGTCGTAATGTCTGTCATCTTCCTGTCTGAGATAAAACTAACACTGGAGCCTTGGAGCTTATAGAAAACATAATGTACTGGTTTATCCTTTTTTTTCACAGACGATTTCAAGAAAATTACTTTCTCTTTCAAGAAGCAAGGCCCAAAGGAATAACTCTGAGGCCACAATTAAGACTCATTGGTCCTAGACAAGAGATACATAAACTTTAAATCTCCTTTTAATTGGAAATGAAGGATCCCCAGGACAAATGAGAAGCAGATTTTACTTTTAAAAATATTCATAATTAGATTTTACCTGTAACATAGTCCACCTGTGATTACTTTATATATCTGGACAAAACAGACTGTAATTAGCTCACAAATTTAAAATGACAGAAAAATAATCAGGATGACACATTAATTTGAAATGATTTATTGCCTTTAAAAACCATTTGCATTAGCCTAAAGAATGAACAAAATAGTACCTGTCTGAGAACAAATACAACTCTGCTGCACGCTGTACAAGAGAAAGAAATGTTGCATCTGAGTTAAGACAGACCAACAGTGTTTATGCAGTGAGAGTATAACACAACTGTAGAAAAGAAAAAAAAATCTTTCCATGCTTCATGGTTGGATTCCCCACAACCAGCAGGGCTCAACTGGCTGAAACAACAGTGCTCCCTCTGAATTCAATTGCACTTTGGTGTAAAGTAGCTTTCACTGACTACCGAAACCATTTCCATTCATCATCTTTAAAAGAGTAAGTGGATCACATCATTATTAATGACAATTATTTGCAGTATATGTAGCTGGGTATGTACAAACCTTTTTTGAAACTCTGAAATTGATGTTATTTTGTAATTTAATTTAACAAAATTCACATCAGCTCATCTAACAAACTAGTCCAGTCCACACTAAGTGATTGCATGAAAAGACTCAAAACAGGCAGAAAAAAGGAAACCAAAACGCAGTCGTCATATTCTAGACACACACGTTATACTGATGCTATACTACCTACATTTGGTCTTAGAAATTTAACCAAACAGAAGAGAAACTGATTCAGCTTTTTGTGTGACATTTGAAGTATAGTGCAAAATTAAGGAAGATGCCTTTTGATAGTTATTCCTGAATTTCCATGTCTGTTAATGTACTAAAACTGCACTCAAGTATGTCCAACAGGTGATGCGTTTTTATTGTTATTCACAACAAGCCCATAACGCCCACTTTATTTGATTGTAAATTAAACTTTTTCAGGAATACAACAGGTAAAGCTGTAGTGGAATCTACCACATCGTGAACAGTATAAACAGCAAAAAGACTACAAAGTCTCAAGTTAAGTTCAAGCACAAACAAGATTCAGTGTGACTTGGAGTTGTCAGCAGGTAAAGGATGACACGGACTCATGAATTACATATCGTATATGATGGAATAAAAATGTATTGTGGACAAATCTATCCTGGTGAACTATACTGTTAAATTTCTTTCTAAATGTTTTTCGCATTGAGGGAGCACTGTTCTAGTGTAACTAAAACAAAAATGAGGAACAAACTGAATCAGGAAATACGGAACAAGCAGTCATAACATTTTCAAGTTTGAAATGACAGTGGAAATAAAGAAACACAAATCATTACATCATAGCTACTTTGAAGGACAGAGCAAAAACTCAAGCTCATATGTACTATTTGGTTAATTACATATTGTAAACATTTGTATTTGTTTTTTTCTATATGGAGGAAAAAAAATTCAAGCTAGCTTATTTTTTTTCTTTATAGGCTCTGTAAGTTTATCATTAACAAATGTAAACAAAAAAACAAACACTCGTACAGACAAATGTATAATCTTTTTTTAAAAGCCAAACAATTATTCTAAATATACTCAGGCACCATAAAAAACCTTCTATAACTATTATGAACCGTTAAAATGGGTATTTTAGCTTTTCTGCAAAGTTTTACTTTTCTTTATCTCTTTCTTTTCTTTGTTCCCTTACCAGTGGATATAAGTCTGGGACAAAATAACTATTAAAAACTTAAAGCAACCACACAGATCTATCCATGTGAAAAAAGGTTGGTAAGATGATTCACTTACTGCATCAGTCTCTAATCCTTGACAGATCTCAGTTTGAATCTTTTGTGGTGCAAATTGAACACAGAATCTACTCACAACAAACAGACTCTTCAAAATAATAAAACTGATTCTATATCAAGAAAGATACACAAAGAACTATTTTCTAATATTTCATAGACGCGAAGCAGCAAGAACTGCGTTGAAGATATAGACTCGATTCTGTAAATATCAACACATGGATGAGCTTGCTTCATACTCTGAAAGCGCCTGTTAATCAAGCTTAATACATTAATGTCAATCCCCCCAAAAATATAGATATCTAAGTATATAATGAAAAATATTGCTTACTAGTGTGTCTCTCATTCTTCAAAATTGAATAGACATCAACTACGGTTTCTTTATACTTACTGAAAAGATGAGCATTTTCTATAAGACCGGTTCAAGAAATATAATTTACACCAGAGTGATGAAAAAATATTTCCTTGAATAATAATTTGTCAAAAAGGAAAAGCTTTTTCAAGAAATACTAAGAAGCATATCAAACAAATGAGGACAATTGCTTCAGTTCTTATCTTAATGAATGAAAGCCCCAAAAGTCTTCATATTCTGAATTTCTCATGGCCATCTAACTGTTTCACTTTTTTTCTAACAGCATTGCCACCAGCTTGACATTTTTAAATAACTAAGCAGGGTAAACTGTTTGACCACACAGCAAATATGTTTACTTTAAAAACTGAAAAAGAGAAACCTTTCAATTTGAGACAATGTTCAGTAAATTTCTTTTAAGGACCCCAGACTTCCCTCTCCCCTGCCACTTCTACCACCTACTCCGGGGAGATCCCAAGGCGTTCCCAGGCCAGCAGAGACACATAGTCCCTCAAGCATTTCCTGGGTCTTCCTCTGGGCCTCCTCCCGGTGGGACGTGCACGGAACACCTCACCAGCAAGGCGACCAGGAGGCATGAACCATCGAATTTCTAAAATGTTTATTCCCAATGGGGTCACGGGGGGACTGGAGCCTATCCCTACAGTTTACCTACTAAAACTGATAATGAAAATACTACTATCATCCATTAGAATTAAATCTACATACCGACTACAATTAGCAAAGTACATAGTTAAACCGTATACTTTGATATCAGAAATAAATTAGTCCACATGTACCTTACAAAACATTATTAGCTTAAAAACACGACACAAAAGCATATCTACTGTCTGTTAGTTTATAGTTGTTGGATTGCACGCTAGTTTGTGTGTGTGAAATGAAAAAAAGTGCAATTATGAAACTGTTGGTCCAACAAAAAATGTAATGGATCAGTCAGCAGGGGTTGATGACATAACCACATTGCTAGTTCATAAATGACCATGCTTAACAGAAGACAATGTGAAATGCTGCATGGATTAACTTGGGGCATTGACAAATAAATTTGGGCTGACTGTTCACATTTCAGTCATTTCTGGGTTTCATTCAAACATATACCAGCCATCCCCCCAAAAAAAGAAAGAGAGAAAAAGAAAGAAAGAAAGAAAGAAAGAAAGAAAACTTGGTGCACAGTCGGAGGAAAACCAAAGGACTGTACAACCACATCTATAGAAAAACAGAATATGGAACAACTAAAAAACAGAATATGTAAAAACTATAAATGTAAAAAATAGATACAGCTAAAGTCAGTCTTTCTTATCTACAACATGCTCATAATGGCCATAATGCACAAACACTATCGCACACAACATCTATGTTCATTTGCCAGACAGTCTATAGTTTTTAATTGACAAACGTATGAACATTGTGGCACAACATATGGTGTTGGTGGCACCATCCCATGGAGCAAAGCTCCATTGCCATTGAGGAGACAATAGGCTCATCATAATGACTAAAGGCACTTATAGCATATCTCACTCAGGTTTTATTTTAGCCCTCGCATCAGAAGCACTGCTGTTGCCTCTAGTTTCATTCTTGGGATCTTCTGCTTGCCAAGAACTGTGCAAAGTACACTACAATTGATTTGTCCTCACTGAAATCAAAACTACCTCTTGATCTAAACTTTTAGGGACAAATTAAGTGTGTGTTGATTTAATTAACCCCGTCTAGAAAAAGGTTGATAATCTGAAATCTGTGATGCAACAATTCAGAAAAAGAAATAACACCATTTAAATGGAAATGTTTGTCGGCTTGAGTCATGTGATAACATTAAAATCAACTCTTGACTTACTGTAATAAGCAGCAAATTTAATATCTCACTTCGGAACTTCAATTTCTATCCCTCAACAGAAAGGTACCAAAGTAATTCCAAAATACCAATCACCCTTCCTTTTCAAACACTTTGCAATTCTATACTTTCTATAAAACTAAGTCATTTATTTTTGTCATTCTACTGTCTAAGAAATATGAAAAACTATTTAGATTTGTTCACCTTGAAAAAAATCAACCTTACGAATCAAGTTTAAAAACAGCTTTATGATGCCTCTTGCATTGCAACAGTTTCACTGATGGAACAAGAAAACTGCAAAAGCCTGCATCTACACAACTGTTCTATCAAAGTGACACTGATGAGAGGTGGTGCAATTATCACCCCAAGGAAAATAAACAACAACAAAATGGTAGAAAACGACTGACATGGCACTAAACCGTGGGCGGGAACTGCCCCTGTGACGTTGCCTCCAAATCTAAACATTCTTCTACAACTATGTGTACTGTACTATATGCATTACGAAAAGCAGAATGTTACACCATGGGTCCAAGTAATTAAACTATCAATAAAAACCCAAACAAAAGACTCCATGCACACTTCACTGGATAGTCTCTCAGACCACAATGGCCATGCCAAACTGTGAAAAGAGTGATTTTTGTCATGTCTTTCTACATGAAAATACACTTTTGAATGGGTATATAATATTTCGAAAATTTGCATCCTTACACGAAGTCTAAGGATATGGCAAATATTCTAAATACATACAAGAACAGCTATGAAACTGTATAAAATCACATACAATTACTGCATGTGTCTGAAATATACTGTACATAAGTTATATTACTGCTATCTTTTTTGTACATCAGTGTTCTACAGCTCTGTGAGTGAAGCTAGTGATAAAAACAGTCAAGCGCAAGGAAGAAGTACCTTGAGTAAATCTGATACAAAGATTAACAATAAACATCTGAAAAAGCATTGTACCATGGAAACAGTCTAATCGAACATGACAAAGCAATGTCAGTACTCAAGAAACAATGATTACATAACTTGATGCTCTGATAGCAATACAATGAACATATAGGGACAGACACATAAGAGGAGCATTAACAGTTCCTCAAGTCAATGGCTACAGGTGTTACAGTGTTATAGAGGATGAAAAAATAAGAACGGGACATTTGATGCAGGAAACCTGAATTGTACGGGAGTGTGTTTGGAATTTGCACCTCTCTCTTTAGTATATATGTAAATGATTCTAAATATACCAGATATGTACCATGCAATCCCTCTTACACAGAATTTACAAAACGCTGTACTTCATTAGTTAAGAAAAGAGACCCAATGAGAGAGCAACACGCCAAAGCAGTTGGAAAAAAAGATTGTTTCATAAAAACAAACCTGTATGTTTATGTTAAAGCTGTAGCTTTGTCCACGTTGACATCTGTTTATTCCACCTTTCGCATTATTCTGTTAACTTCTATCATCTCAGCTATATCACAGTTACACAGGCTTGTGGTCATTCAAAGCTATTAACTATGGCACTTATGCAAGCTTTTAGTTGGTACTTTAAAACCCTTTAGGTTCTGTCTCTGGTGATTTCCACATTTCATAGTTTTCTCATCCAGCTTTAGAGGGGGATGATCCTGCTTTAGCCAAGCAAGTCCTTTTAGCTCAGGCTTTTGCGTGTAGAGTTTGTGGGCAGTTTGGCTATGACAGATCAAGACGTATATCTTGTGTTCAAAGCAAAATTATACACAAAAACACCTCCTGTAAATTTCCCATCCCACACCATCTGGTCTCTCTACCTCTTTTTCTTGATCTTGTAGAAAAAATATTTTTGTGCTTATTTTGCTCTCATTTGTGCCAGCTAATATAAAAAGAAAAAAACCTACAAAAAACCTCCGATCAGCCTGAATAACTATACAGTGGCTTGTTATCAGTAGTTGTGCTTATTAAAGGGCCATGTAATTAGCAAGGTGTGTTCTTAAATGGACTGGAGCCAATGTGGGGAGTCAGCAACAGATTATAAGAAAAACAACATGATTTAAAAAAAATCATGACTCTCAGTCAGCATTACACAAACACTGTGTGTCTTTTTTTGTCTTTCTTTCTTTCTTTCTTGTTATGCATATCATGAAAAGCTTCCCCACCTTGGTTGTCATAATACTCATCTGGTAGAAAATTCATCTGGGGTGCTGGTTCTGAGAGCGTGCTAGAACTGGGTTGGCTAGATTTACATTCAGATTGTCATTGTGTTGGACCAAGGAGACATTTTTGTAGTGGAGCACCAGGTCTTTGAGGGATGAATACAGATTGTAGGGCTCAGCAAATCCATAACCCGTGGCTGTCTTGTAGATGACACAGTGCTTTGTGTCGCCCTCCACACTGTAAGGACAGATATGTTAATTTAAGATCATCAGATCACTATTAATAATTACACCACATCTATCTATCTATGTGAACTGCTTATAGATGGGGTCACAGGGGGACTGGAGCCTATCCCAGTAGTCAATGGGCGAGAGGCAGGGTACACCCTGGATGGTCCACCAGTCCATTGCAGGGCATTTAAACACACAAAGACAAACGACCACATACACTCATATTCACTCCTAAGGGCAATTTGGAATGTCAAATCAACCTAATATGCAGGTTTATTGGACGGGGGGGGGGAGTACCCGGAGAGAACCCACGCAGACACATGGAGAACATTCAAACTCAACACAGAAGGGTTCCGGTTCCTCCCCAGCACTCGAACCGGGAACCCTCTTGCTCTGAAGCAATGGTGCTAACCACCATACCTATATATATATATATGTATATGTATATATATATGTGTGTGTGTGTGTGTGTGTGTGTGTGTGTGTGTGTGTGTGTGTGATTATTAATAAGTAGAAACATGATGTATGTTTATGTAACATTACGTAATCTGAGAGCAAAAATGGATTATCTCGTTTCTGATGCTGTACACTCCAAGCCTATAAATTCCTATTGCTTGTTGACAAGCCTCCAATGTGGAATAAAGATTTCTGTTATCACTTGATAGTTGTTCAAAAGTAACACAATTGACTGTATTAGAAGGGAGAATGGTGACATGCCACAACAGAGCAGTTCCTCTCACATACACTAAATGGGTTCACTGTGTTTACAATTTATGGGGAGGTCTGAATCGTGGTTTGATCAGATGATGTTGTTTGTCAAAAAGTGTTCCGTTTTGTTTTCATATAAAAGTTCAGCATCATTTTGTTTTGACTTTGGCTAAGGTTTTGGTATTGATGTTAGCATAACATTGGAGCAAGTTTTTTGTTGTCAGCTCATTCTATTGTTATGTGTAACCAAGTGTAATGCAGAATGTCACTAATTATTAATGAGACCATAATTGTTTTTTTAGGCACTGCATCAGTAAAGAGTAATAATTCTCTTTGACATAACTTTCTAACTTCTTGCTGAAAGGACTGCAGTCAATGTAAAATTAAATCCATTTGACTCTACATAACATGAAAATCTCAATATTAAATTAATTAAGTCAACTTAAAAGGTGCTGCCAAGTTTATCATTAATAACTAGAGTGAGTCTTCACTAACTACAAATACAAAAACATGTAACATTTATTTTATGGTGTTGCACAGAAAGACCTTGAGTGTCGTATTTCAGAAAAAGTTCTTATCTAACACATGAAATATTTACCTGTCATTCCTGTGGTTTTTGGTTTTCTTTTGTTATGTCTTAGTCTTGTCATTTCCTGCTTTATTTGAAATAATAACTCTCTGGTTTCTGGTTATGTGCCCTTCTTCTTGTGTCAACAGTCTGTCTTCCCTTAAGTTGTGATTGTACCCACCTGTTGCTCGTTTCCCCTTGTGTACTTATACTTTGCGTCACCCCTTGTCTTGTGCCAGATCCTCATCAATCGTCATTTCCACGTCAGTACTTCCTGGTTTCTGCCTCAAGTCTTGTCTCATTGTCTGTTTTTTTGGTTTCGTACTTCTAGGTTTTCTTTTGGGGTTTTTCTCCCTGTTTAGTTAATTTGTCAGTATCTAGCGTCTGCTGCATTTTTTTGTTGCCCCATAAATACTTTTTTTTTTCCTGAGTTCCTGGTCCCTGTGTCTTTGTCCTCGGTCCTGCCGGTTGGATCCTTCCCCTAACACACCTTGACAATACCTAGATGAGCATGTATCACATATAATCTTACATGGATTTTTCTAAGATAAAAAAGTTCAATGCAGACTTACACTACAGAACAAGCGTAGGACCCCTTCTGGGATTGGCTTTCACGAATAAGAAAAGTTCCATCACATTTGCCCCTCAGCATTTCTTCAGCCTGGGTGCGCTTGATATCACCCACATACCAGGTACACTCATCGTAGTTAGGTGAGCTAAAATTTTCTTCCAGTGAGTAAGATCTGAGGATGGAAATAATTCATCATCACTGATGGGCACAAAACCTGATTTTAACCACTTATTTCAATACAGACAAAGATACAGTAATTATGTCATCATTATTCAAATGCGGTATTTACCGGTGAATAAAAAAAAACATACTCATCAGTATCATTCTTAATTCCGAGCCATTCATTGATCTTCTTCTGCCGTGTCCCCTTCTGTGTCAACCATCTGAAAAGCAAGAATGTAACAGATATCCTGATTAAACTAATACAAGTGTACATGCATACATATAAGTTTTCACAGAATGTTAGCAAAAGTGAAAATTGGGGCACACTGCAACCCTTACATCAAATACTGATCTCTAATCTTGCGGAGCTGCATGAGATCTGGCTTGAGACTGTTCATCTTCTTGTCAATTTCTCTATTATCCGACACCTGCTCTCTCAGGTCCTGCTCCAGCTTACGCTTGCTGTCATGGATTTCCTTCACGCGAGACTGCAAGCGCTCAGAATTGCTCTGGATCCTAATGGAAAGTTACAACATGCTGAATACCTTAAAAGTTTACAAGTTCAGTCACAGCTTGTCTTTGCAAAAAAACTAAAGGAAAAAGCTTCTAGGCAAATACCTACTTTTGTATTTCCTTTTCGTTGCCTTCACGTTGCAATCGCTCCAAAGACTCTCTGCTGTATCTCTCCTGTGTTTCAAACTGCTCTTCAAATATCTTGATAGTCTCATTAAAAGCTTCAATGGCTGTGCGCTTCATCTGTAACTCCTGTGGAAAATAATGAAACGCTGATTGTTAAATTACATTTGAAGTTTGCATTTTTATTTTTTTGGGGGCTATAAACATCAGACCCTGATAAACTTTACTGTCTGTGGAGGGGGCATGGTGCTCAGCTGCAGGAGGGGAGGTGTGGGAAAGGCTCAGGGGAGCAGTGCCAGAGGACGTGATTAGCACACCTGGAATCAGTTGGCTAATCACTCTCCCCTTGTTAAAGAGTAGTTCTTGGAAAGGAACTGCACAGGAGGAACAAGCCAAGAAGCAGCCAGTCTGTGTGTATGTCCGCACAGATAAATGACATAACCAGAAACACTGTTGAGTCTGTCGAGGCACCCACGGTGGCTAAGACTGTGACACTGTAACCCTATGTTAAATTTGTAGTTTAAATTTTATCCATTTTTAATCCTTACTCAGACATCAACATGTGTGTAAATAGTTGTATTGATCTAGGTGTACTGAGTCAAAAACAGCACAGAAGTAGGCATAAAGCATGGATGCACATCCCAGATTTTCGATGCGTGTTATGTGTCCTGGTACCTGTGACGTGCGGGTGTATTCCTCATACAGAGAGTCATACTCGCGGCTCTTCTCCTGGTACTGCTCATGGTAGATCTTTAACTGCTCCCCTACCTCCTCAATGCTGTTCTCCTTAACAAGCTGGGTCATGTGAAAACCAGATTACAGAAAAATTTAAAACATTAAAAAAACAAAGCAGATGCTCAGTGAATACTGTACCTCATGAATGACTTTAAAATTAATTGAGGCTTGCAAAGAAAAAGGTTAAATAAAAAATATATAATATCACCAACCTGCTGGTATTTGGAAATAGGGTACAGAAGTTTAGTGTCCAACTTGGCATTATACTGAGCAAGTGACTCATGTCGGTAGTGATTGATGAGATCCACTATAGACAGGAAAGTCAGAGGTTCTGAGAAACCATATTGGCCTTCTCTGTGATATATCTTTATGAGCTTGTTGTTTCCCCCTTTCCTGCAGAGGGAGGCAAAAGTCCAATGAACATGACAGGAGCTTAGGAGACTTGTTATACATAATGATTGTTTGTTAGCAAATGTCTGGTTTGTGTCCATGGTGAATTTACCTAAGAGTGAGTGTGTACTCGCCCTCCAGTTTACTTGAGGCATCTCTGACCAGGAAGGTACCATCTGGTGTGTCTCGCAGTTTCTCATTCACTTCCTCTCTGGAAATATTAAACCATATTAAAAGTTTTTATTATAACTTTAAATATTTTGGAATGCATTTATATTTAAGCCTATTAGTAGATTGTAACTTAACTTACATCAAGACAGATAACTATTAACTCTAATAATTCACCTGGAAATGTCCCCCCAGTACCACTCAGAATCATTAAGCAGGCTGCTTGTGTCTGTCATGGCCAATGGTGCAATTTTTGATTTGACTGGCTTTGCAGGAACAACTGAAGAACAAGAAGAACAAAAACACACCCAAAAAGTAATCAATGAAATAATTTAACATAAAAGCAATGGATCTTGATTATCTTAGATTAAAGATACTTACCTGGAGGAGGGAGGTCCTGCTGAATAGTTCGCTCAATCAGAAGTCTCTCTACTACCATGGCAGGGAAATCCTCATCCAATGACAAACTGTCAGTCAATATTTGACAGTTCATCAGTACCAAGACACACACTTCAGCACACTGTTTCATATCTAATTAATATTCACTACAATGCCCCAAAGATTAAATCTAAGATGCCAGTCCTTCAACATGTCTTCAAACTACACACCATGACAGTTATTTTCTTTGAAAAGAAAAATAACTTACGAAGGGCAAGAGAGTCCTGGCCGAATCAGCAGTGGGCCAAAGATAATTCCCAGAGTGTGTGTGTCCAGGCCATTGGTGGCCTGAGCCTGGGCGACCTTAGTCAGGTGTGTAAGGAGATACCGCAAGGTGAAACAATGGTGGACAGCTGTGGAGTTCTCAAGGACCAGGCTAATCTCTCTGTTGTGGCTACAAGCTACAGCGCCATCTGGAGGAAGGATTAAAAAAAGTAGAGCTCTCAATACAACAAAATTGGAAACTGATCATATGCGTATCACAATCAAATATTAGACGGAGGACCTGTGGAACATCTTTATCCTCTTGAATTCTGCTGCTAAAAGCATATGGCTAAAACACATTTCTTTAACTGAACATAATTTCACTGATATTGGTATGGATAACATTTCACACAAATTCTCTCCATCATCAGTGTTTATTCATACTTGCTGTGGAAAAATATTTTTGTGGTGACTGTGTAAATAAAAGTGTAAAGGCAAACAGTACAAATCAAAAGCACAAAAGAAAATATAGTAGCCAGAAAATTAATTTAGCTGTTGGTTAAATAGGAACATTTACATTGTTTAAATATGACAAATGGTTGAATATGTTATACATTAAGAAAGTAAGCTCGAAATTAAGGTAGAAATGCATTAAATTCAAGAATTCACTGTATTTTGATTCTGGAAGGTTTATTATTTAAAAAATTAATTTCATCAAACATGAATATCTATGGTTGAGTTATTTCTAATTTCATACTAGAGTCCCTTATTTAAAACTGGGCAGACAAAAGAAATAGTACCAAAGCCAGTGAAAAGAAAAGACAGAGGACATATTCCTCACCCACTTCTGGTTACGCTGCTTTTGTCTTCAGCTGTGCCACATACACATACAGTGATGGTGTATGAGGGGGCTATTAGAGGACATTTTCAATCTCAAGCCAAACAGAAATCCGGAGATATTCATGTGAACTGTGTAAGATGTTTAATAATGTATATAAATTAGCCTTTTGTGTTACAATGGATTTAATTCATTCCTACAGCAGTTTCATTCCATCTTTTTGTTGCTATCTTTTCTTTTCTGCCAACTTCTAATATCTTACATATTCTAATTTATATCTTATTTAACACTGTCACTGTCTTTTTTCTTAATGGACATTATTACTTTAGGTCTAAAAGTATTTGCACATCACTACAACCTGTGAGATAATTCAATAAGATTTCCAATATGCATGATATTGCTTTCATTCTCATGTCCGCCTGGAACAGGTGCAAAATACATTCAATTCAATTCAGTTTTATTCATATAGCGCCAAATCACAACAACAGTTATCTTGCAGCGCTTTCCAAACAGAGCAGGCCAGACTCTACTCTGAGGTTTCAATGCATGTTTACAATGTATTACTTTGTTAGTTACAAATAGAAGTTTTGAATCTTGAACGTTATTTCACTGATTTTGAAAATAGATCTCCTGAATTTGGCAAAACTTTTATTTCAATATCTAGTCAAACAAGGTTTCACAATAGATCACACCAATCTATTTGATAAAGGCTGCTATTCTAATGAATAAAATGCATTCGAATTTGGCACAACATTCCAATTTCAAACAAGTTTTAGGTCATGAAGTTGTTTTTCATACAGATTCAGCAAAACCAAAATCCTCTATGGCGGAAACAAATGGATTTTAAACAACAAGATTATGTCTACAAATAGTTGATAATACAAAAACTGTTATTTGTATCAGACAAAACAAATTATCTATCCATAAGCCATTACAATAAAACAGTACAGAAAGATTCCTAGTTAGGGACCTGAGTCGGTATCAGTAACCACAGAGCTCCATGTGAACTTTGACCAACCTGCTTGCTGCTTGAAAACCTTCTGCTGCGTGACAGCAGTTTGAAGATGAGGGTAGAGACATGGAGGGATAACTGGCGATGGGAGGTCTCTCAGGTATTGTAGAACACTCTCAGAGAGGTTACTTATATCCCTCTGAGTAATGTCACTCTCTGGACCACAAAGACATAACCCAATGACAATTAATTTAAGGGAAAAACACCAGTAAACTAAAACATCTGAGCACAGATATGTTGGACATGGACTCTATGAGTTAACACTTTGCTTTGTTTTCAATATTTACCATTGAAAAGGGGCATTTCACAGAGTTAATATTCAGTTTGGTATTCTCTTGGTGGAGAAATAAAACAGGAATCTGAAGTAGATTCATATTCAGGCTAAACCTTGCACAAATACAAAGTCTAATGAAAACTAATGTAATTTGGTAAAAATAATTAAAACCCACTGACCAGAGCTCAAAGTGTACATGGGGCTGTCTGAGTCTGAGGGGTTAGCTGTCCTATATAGCGCCTTGCAGTCCAGACCTGAGGGGAACAGAGGGAACAGTTCAGCAAGCATTGAAAGACACAGTAAAAAAGAGAAAACTGGGTATATTCAGCACATCAAAACTAATTTTATGAGGTGAAATGCGCAATAAGGTCAGTGTTATGAATAAAAAGACCTAAGATGTTTTTTTATATAACCCTACTTTTCAGTTTAGGAACATAAGGTTTCTGTTTTTAATTTGTTTCCTGTGTCAAGTCAAACAAGAATGACATAATAAATCAACTGACAGCTGGTGCTTCAAAAGCCAAGTAGGCACTTTGTGGTTGAGCAGTAACATATATGTCCCTTGTTAGCAATGCCCAATTGCAGTAATTGTCGGTTTGATTCCTGCCAATCTTTCCTCTGTCTTCCTCCAGTGTTTTTACCCACTTTCCTTTATTACTAAACTCTTTTCTCCATTAAAGGCTATAAATAACTCAAAATACATTATTCAAAAAAAGTTTCAAGGGAATATTCACAAGTGGGGAGATAAAAACATATGCATTTGTTTTAACATTCTTTGCTTTGGATCAATTATGAATTTCCAAGAAAAATTGGGGGAAAAAATCAAGTCTGACAAATTGTTGGCAAAAAGTTAAGTTTTTAATGGTCTGATGATGAAGGAAAAACAAATAATACTAAACATGAATATGTCAGAGACATTTATTTTACACACATCTGACATTTTAATTACTCTATTTCTAATTGCCCATGCTTGAGAGAAAAAATCTTTTCAGAAAACTTGGTTCCAGACAGTTTGCGTCAAAGGCACAATTCTTAGAGACAAATCAGTCTATAAAGTACGTGCATAAACCACACAATGCAGCCCGTGTGCATAAATCCCCAAAATCCATATTTGTCATTCAATATTATTTCCACATCATATAGAAACTGATCTTCTCTCACTGTCAGTAAACTGTCGATACTGGATTTATATCCAATTATTTGAATACATGAAACCAGTACGTATACATATATATGCAACATTATAGGTGAATTTACTTATTTACTTATTATATCCATATGTTTTTTTACATCTTTTTAGGTCTTGGAGAACTCCTTTGATACATCATCTACAAAGCAAATGAGAGTGAATGGGCGAAACACAGAACATGAAAAAATACAAAAAAGAAGCAGCAAAACTGCCAAAGGAGTCCCATCAAGTTTTTTTGTTAATGCTGGGTGTGAATCAAACCTGCCACCCAAGATTCTCTGACAGAAAAAATTACGGAAAACTCTACGAAAATCACAAAAGCCAGAAAGTGCTTTAAATTTGTGCTGAGATAAGGGCAAGAGGCATAAATAAGAAAAACATAGAAAAAAATGATAAGACAAAATGAGAGTCAGATATCCTATGAATACACTGGATAGTTGACATGGATATACCTCTCTTCTCTATGGCTTGGATCAGTCTGACGAGGGCTGGGGGAGCCATTTCTGGTATGAACTGTTCG